TCTTCTTCTTCTTCTTCTTCTTCTTCTTCTTCTTCTTCTCCTCCTCTTCATCTCCCTCCTTTTCCCTCTCTCTCTCCCCCTCTTTTTCTCACCCCTTTCTGTCTATTATTTAAAGTTTTCATGCTGGCAAATGAGTACTAAAAAATATGTGTACATTGAAGTGTATATATATTATATAATATAATATTTTATATATGAGAGAGAGAAAGAATGGTGAAAGATAGTTTTTGGTCAATGGAAGACAAGACAGCGTGAGGCACCGGAGTCAAACCCACGTGTTTATCTAGAAAGTGTGGCAGAGCACTTCAGAAATGCCAAATTGTGTAAGGTGTGTAACAGTAAGACTGAGGTGTAGAATTTTAAAGCTTAGTTTTAGAGGACTTGTAAATAAAATATCAGGAGTCTGAGCTGAAGAGAAGACCAACAGATTGGATTTAAATGTTGTCAGTACCAATTCATGAATAAAGCATTAGGACCAAAAAAGAAGAATGTCTGTTTGTAACTATTCCCTGCCAAGTGTCAGACAAATCTCAGATTGCAGTTCAATATGCATTAACACAAGTAGCACTCGGTAAGTAGACAGTAGCAGGCACAGATATATGACTGTATACTGGGATAGTGAAAGGAATGTTATATGCTGTGTTGGTGGTTTATATTTTATTATTCATATATGCTATTATCCATCCTATATAACCCATCACGACCAAAGTCATATGTGCTTAAGGTAAAGGCTCTTCAATCTCTATGTACAACCCTTGACTAGTGGAATTTGCCATAAAATTTATGAATTTCACTTCCAAATAATTCTTAAAGTCTTACTTCTTCCTCTATGAATAAATATAAATATAAAGTAGTTCTATAAGGGGATACAAGAATAGAAAATGATGGTCATGTATAAATTTGCATACTCACTCCAAGATTCATGCCGGTGAGATTAGCCACTTAGAAATCAATTCCTTCTTTCACCAGTCATTCATTTTGTCAGTCACATACTTAATGTTTTCTAAGCACTGGGTACTGTCCCAAACAATAGATTGCCTTGATAGAAATGGACACAAAGCTTCAGCTTTAATAATAATGATATGCCTGCTAAGGAGGTCAGAGGGGCAGAATAACTGTCATTAAAATAATTAAGGAGAATCATGAAAGATAACAATAATATGTAGAGGGCATAGTTCATGTGTTTTAAAGATAATTAGATTACTTAACTCTCAAAAATACAGAAACCTCAGTAATCTTGGGAATCAAAAGCTCAGCTTGGCATAACTAACAAAGTTATTTTACATATGTGATTTTATCTAAAAATTTTAGTAATTTCTTCATCTAAACTTAGAATGATGTTTTTTAAATAAGGCAAACCTAGCTGACTTAAAGAAGCACGACCATGGTTTACAGCTATTCCGCAATTTTCTAGCTTTTCTTCTTACTGCATTTCAGTATGTGGCTGTGACTATAATAAAGTTACAACCCAACTTTGAGGTAGTTAAAACTTTTTAATATTTTGTTTCTTTAAGAGGCTTTTTATTATTTTTGAAAGACACATTATATTATTGAGTATATTATTGCTAGTGAATTTAGATATAATCACTTTTTTTGTGTTTTGGTGTACTTTGGGAAACATGGTGTTTTTTATATTGATCCTGTAATATTACTTTTCCCCTAAGGTGTTATTAGAACAGCGTTGCCAAACATGGACAGAGAAGTCAAAGAACAATACCAAGTCCTCATTCAAGCGAAGGATATGGGTGGACAACTGGGTGGGTTGGCTGGAACAACACTCGTCAACATCACACTCACTGACGTCAATGACAACCCTCCTCGATTCCCCAAAAGTATGTCATCTACCTGTAAGAATACACTGTCAGAGTTTCAAGAAAGCATTTCCTGTGATGTCGTATATTAATGCTGTGATAATTGAAATAATCTCTCAGATATTTTGATCTTTAAAAAACAGAATATAATGCATAAAAATTACATTTCTTTGGTTTTTAAATATTTGATAAAAATCATGCTTATATTATTTTAATAGAGCCCGTAGTTGTATAATCATATTTCTTCTATTATTTTCTATCTAGGTACAGTCTCACAAAAGGTTTGTGTCCTTCCCTGAAAGTTTGTGATCTATGAAAGCAATATAAACAAGTAAAATATGACATAAGACATAATACTTACAGCATATATGCCACTACATTATTTTATAATGTAGCAGATTATAGCAGATTTGGCAAGTATAAATGTTGAACTATTTTTAGATACCCAGTGTTTGTGAAAATATATTTATACTGCTTCCATTCCAAACAGTTATCTCATTTTAAATTTGCAATAGGTGAAAATTGCTTTAGTTTCTAGGATAATGGAATGATCCTCACCAATTTCTTCTCTATAACTTTGTATCTGTTGTTGAAAATGAGCACTTCTCACCTCTGTTTCATCCTGTTTTCTCTTGAGTGTTGTGTTTAACACTAGTCATACCTATTCGCTTTCTGATGGGCGTTCAAGGATTATTTTCTGCTTCTTCGGTGTTAGAGTACTGAGGCAGAATGGTATCATTCATGTTTTTATAGGGAACATGATTAAATCACTGCATAGTTATTTGCCTGGTCGGTTCTAAGTCATAAATATTTTCTTTTGCATACTTACACGAGTTTGAAAGTTCATGTAATAAAATCTGCAATGTAGACAGTGTTCCATTTTGTGGATATTTTATTCCTTTCAGTAATCTTTTCTTTACAGGTTTCACTGTTGGAAATTTTCAAAAAACCCCTTTGCTTTATCCACATTCTAAAGCACAGCATATATTCTTTGTGGAAATGTTTCCTCTTCATGATCAGTAAGAGTCTAATTACCAAATATTATGAGTGGCAATTAGAAATCATCATACTTTAATGCATGCTAATGAGCTCCATTTAGCCATTCCATCAAGAGTGCATATTTCAAAATGTCATGATGTACTTGATGAAGATGTCCAATTTCTGTGAATTGATTTTTAAAGATTAAATAATTCATTGAAGTCATACTATAAATGAAATGTATAGAACAACTTACTATATAATGTGTTTTGATTAATGAAAAACAATGCCTTAAAGCAATATTTTTCACTTTACTTTGTTACTAAGAGGAAAAAAATAGAGAAACAATGCATTTGATTTTCTAGTATATGGCCTCATTAATAATATGCCCCCAACTAAACAAACTTCCAATTGTCTTTTCCTTTTTCCCTCCCTGCCTCCCTCCCTCTCTCACTCCCTTCTCTCTCCTTTATTTCTTTTCTTCCTAAATGCAAAAAGCTGTAATAGTTTGAACAGGGTAGATTGGGAAATTGCCTTTACATAGAAACCATCATTATGAGCATAGATTCTACTTTGCATGTTGTACACAGAAAACTGTTGTCATTCACTTGACTGATAATGAGGTTTTTTCCAGGCAAGAATGCAACACCACTGCCAATGGAAAGACAATCTCAGTGGGAAGGAGAGAAGGGAGTGTTTAGGTTTATGCAGATAACCAGAGCAAGGCTACAGCAGCATGACATGCCCTATCTGAATGGAGTTAACACCTGCATGTTCTTAGGAAAGAAACATGATATTCTTAGATCTGAAAAGAAACAGAAAGATCACTTACAGGTCAGATGCAGAGAAAACAGAATGTGGAATAAGCATCAGAATTTATTAATACTGACTCAAGTTCAATATTGTTGATATAACTTGGACCACATGACATTAACCAGCAAAATATATAAAGGGTAAA